CATCGACTGACAAACACTGTTCACTTGACTCTGAAGATGACTTCCGCTCACAAGAAACACAAGACGAATAAATGCTTTATTGCCTTCATTGGTTTGACTTCCATTCCCTAGTGATCTAGATCTGTCTCATGTTGTGTCCTGTCTTTTGTTTGCTAGGCTCATGTGGAAGGAGGGCAACAAATGGCTACTGCTGTAGATTCCCGTTCATCTACAAAGGCCGTCGTTACAACAGCTGTACAAGACGAAATCACAATCGACCGTGGTGTGCTCTCACACCAAACTATGATCGAGATAAGAAGTGGGGAAACTGTGTTGGTAAGCTGGGTTGAGAACAATTTCTGCATTGATGCTCTACCAAATTCAGAGATGGATATGAAAAGAAAAGAAATGTATGGAATCAGTTGGAAGATTTTGTATTATCAAGATTTTATATCACTAAACGTTATTTTACTTATTTCATCATGTTAGGTGGACGAGTCAGACCAATACGACCTGTTGTCCCTCCACGAAGAGGTAGGTATCTTGTATGATTGATAATTATAATCATGCGTAATTTCCCATACAGATTTTTCGCGTAGAACCCCACTGCTACCCCTCTTGAAATTCCAGTTTAGCTTTATACTTTCGTTTAAGAACTTCAGTCTGTGCAATAGAACCCTACCAATATCCTCCCCTTAGATGAGCAAGGATATTTCCTAAACATTCACAATTTGCACATGTAACATTCTGTTACATTTTGTATCCATTAAGTTAATTAAGTAACTGAAAATTTGAAAATTTTGGCTTTGGCTTGAAATTTTCGTGGACCTTACAGACACAATAGTGAAGTCGAAAGCTTTTTCACGGTTTATAAAATAACCAAAAGCACGTGGTTTACAAGCTTTTCTCGTGTTCTCCCAGCATCTCATGCGGGTGGTTTTATTGCGACTTTTTATTGCACTGAGTTGTGTACAATGGCCAATTCCTCTATGATGCGCACCTGCAGGGAATCATGGTAGTCGCATTCATAACAGAAATATCCAGTCCAAGATGATGGATACAACTCCCATGATTCCATGCAGGCACGTCTCATAGAGGAAATTGGCCATTTACGGTACAATCAAACGAGTCATTTCAAGAATCTTCTCAAGTAAAAAAGTCTAGGGCAATGTTTTACAATCAGGAAAGAACCAGTGCACTCAGTGCACATAACTGATAAGTTATTGGCCAAGCTGTTCGATGACAGCGATCCAGTTACAAGCTGTGCTTGGACAGCTGTAATTGAAAATCTACATGGTGTCACAAGTTTCAATACACATTTATTACATATTTGCTAAAAAATAGAGCTAATAAGAGACAAAAATTTTGTTATTGATAGAATAACTGTTGGTAGACCAGAATGTTTGAAAATTAACGTGAATTTTTTTTTTCAGGCAAAGTGATTCGCATCACACTGGGTTTACTGGGTGAGTAAAGTTACATTAACTGATCTTCCACTGGACGGTAGGACTGACTGACTGCAGTTTTTACTTAACTGAGGTTGAGAAATAAATTAATCACCATTTTGTTTTGATGTTACAAACATTAACCCCCTCATCAGATCAGATATTTATAAACTGATAACCCTGGTATCCCTTTAAATTCAATTGAATTCGTGAGAACTGGTAAAGCATGATTTTCTCAGATGAAAAGCCCCTTCTGATTTCCTCTCATTTTCTGTCTAGCCAAGGGGCTCGGTTGTTTCAGGGACACTGGAAGAAGAGCCATATCAACCCTAGAAGGCAGAAGTCGTCTTCTGAAAGGACATTACCGAAGGAGACGATATGCTATTCAGAAATGCGCTTTGGCTGCAAAGCGGCGTGGGTATAGCGTGTTTGCCGTACAACATCAGGGATGGTGTGCTTCAGCAAGACATGCTTATCGAACATATGGAAAATACGGCAGATCTAACAGATGTAGGAATGGAAAAGGAGGACCTTGGGCCAATGATGTCTACGTTCTGAGAGGTATAGAAACTGCTTAGCTTAACATGGTTTTCAGTATCTCATTCTTGGGAATTTTCAAGACAACTTACATATACAGTTACTCACTTACTAATTAATTGGACTGTGTCATGGCTGAGTTTAGTCTATTTTTTTAAATTTTGCAAAATGCTCGCTATGAAACTTAATGTTAGCGAAGAGAATCTTTGTGTGGATCTAAATGACAAAACCATAGCTTCATTATAAACAAATGTCTCCCAGTCGTTATAATTAAAGTTGACAAACAAGCGAGATTGACTTTGAAAACCTGTTAGGTAGAACAGTTTTCAAAACCCATTTCGCAATCCGTTAAAATCGTCTTCAATTCTTGTCCATCCGTACCTTCTTTTGTATTTGTTGTGTTATAGAAATTTCCCTTGACTTTTTTAAGTGGTAATTTTTTCAGATTTGACTCGAAATTTGCCTAAAATTCTTGAAAAAGTTCCTTTTAATCTCTTGTCCACAGGATCCTGTCGCGCGCGAACAACTCGCGGTGAATGCTGTGTATTCCCGTTCATTTACCGCAACAGACGATTCACCAGCTGTACCACAGCCAATTCCAGGGGACGCCCTTGGTGCGCTGTCACTCCAAGCTATGACGTGGACAAACTGTGGGGCTATTGCGCAGGACGAGGAGGTGAGGAATAAATTAGTACAATTACTAAAAATATGATAAATGGAGGAGGAGGTGAGGAATAAATTAGTACAATTATTAAAATTATGACAACTCTCATATTTGCTAGTTTTCTGAACATGTTGAAATAATTGTTGGCGATTATGGCACGAACTTTTTTTCGCAAAATTAGTTCATTAGTTTGTTTTCTCTTGATATCAGAACTATGCTATAGATTTATAAATGCTTTGTTCAAGGCCAAAGATTTGCCTGTAATATCTTAGTTTAACGCTACTGCTTTGCAGTGGACATCTTGCGTATATACATTTAAGAAATGTCAGTGTAATGCTTTATGTTTTCCTTTCCAGCAAAAATCATCAAAGTCACGCTGTCAGTCACACGTAAGTAACGACATCGAGACTTTTTATATTCATTTCTTGTCACCGTCTTTAACTGACTTTTAGAGTTAATGCTAAATATTACAACGTGGTTTCCCTAGCAAGATACCCAGCTGTGGAGTTGAGGTAGCCACAATCAGGTCTGGGAGTTGTGCTTTCCGTCCCTGTTACTCAGTTGTAAAGAACACAGACCCCCTTTCACATTTTGCAAATCTGCCTATTGTCTGTTGGGCTCTTGATATTAAATTCAATTTCATAGCTGACCCGGTTATGTTGACACCGTCTATATCTCTACTTTTATTACGTGGCTTTATTTCTACGGTTAGGCCTACCGTCCACACTAATCCGTCACGTAAACAGAGCTTTCTGAAAACGATGATTTCACGATAATGATGTGATCTCAATGACCGAGTTTAATATTCTTCAAACATGAATCTAAAATTACCGGTGATTGTTCCCTTTCTAAATTCCTGCGGCGTAGTGTGAACGGAAAACATTTGACGTGTTTTCAGAGTGTAAACACTTTCAAATTTCACCAGCGTAATGTGGACCACAAATGTTAAAAATGTCCTTCTCTTCCCAATTCATTGTTTAGTCCAGAGAATCGGCTGCTTCAAAGACACTGCTCGCAGAGCCATTCCACAACTGGATGGAAAAAGTATTCTCCTACGAGGAAGCTACCGTCATCGGAAATTCGCCATAAAGAAATGCGCTCTAGAGTCAGCCAGGCGTGGTTACAAATTCATGGCAATCCAACATGGTGGTTGGTGTGCATCAGGACCGCATGCTCATAGAACCTTTGCAAGGTACGGACGATCTAACAGATGTAGGAATGGAAAAGGAGGACCATGGGCGAACGATGTCTACAGGATTTCAGGTGAGGTTTTCCGGAAATATCTGCTAAAAAGTGACGCACAGTTACAAACTTGGCTAGTCTCAACTCTGTGTGGAATTTCAGCAAGAGAATTTTTCAGTGCGACAACTCGAACCGGGCCACTTTGAAAAGAGTTAACCAATCAGAACGTTACTTGAGAACAAGTGATAGCGATCTTTTTCTCAAATAAACCAATTACATTAAAGATTATGAACAACAGATCTTAACAAAATTGAAAATCCAACAAAGTTCGAGTAGCTGCGAACCTCTCAGGAAACTTTGCCACTTGTTGATTGGTTTACTTTCGAGTCTAAGTTTTATACGCTTTTCAACGGTTTTGGTTTAGTTGTAGTAAAATGAGTTTTCAAGCTTAATTGTTCGAGCGAGATTTATAATTATGATAATTCACCGTCAAGGAGTGAATCTCTAAGAGTGTATATAACGCAGAGGAGTCGATAGTCTTAAATGTTTTCACGTCAAACAGACCGTTACCTGCCGTCACGAAGAGCTACCAATCCATTGCTCTCAGTTTACGTTTTGATTGGTTAGATTTCTTCGAGGTGGCCCGGTTCAATTCGAGTAGTCGCACTGTAAGAAAAAACAACATTTATATAGTCCGTCGTGAATCTAGTGTTTCGATTCCTACTTCCCAGGAAGTAAGATCAAGCAAGCCAGCACAAACATCCGCTTACCACTTGTCTTTTTAGTTTTAAAAGTCGATAAAAGTTTAACTGAGGAAGAAAGCACTTATCAAGGCATTTTACACTACCATAAAATCTGTTTTTAACACTGTCTTTTTCCTGTAGGAAAATGCCGTCTTCGCACTACAAAGGGCTACTGCTGTTCTTTGCCATTTGTGTATCGCAGGCGTCGATACAACAGCTGCGCCAGTAATGGACGGGGAAGGACCTGGTGCCCAATAACTCCGGAGTATGGCAGGAAGAAACTGTGGGGGTACTGCAGGGGAGGAAAACGACGTAAGTATTATTTTCTCGCATTGAAGTATTATTTTTAACTTATGCAGCGTTTTGTGAACCTTTTCACCGGTCAGTTAACCAACATATGGCATTTATTGTATCTCAACAGCTCGACCGATACGGGTCACGCCTGGTGTTTATAGTAAGTATAGATTGTAGGCTTCTCCTTGTTGTATTATCAATCAATCAATCAATCAATCAGTAAATCAATCAATCAATCAATTAATTAATTCTTGTCACAGATGTGGAACGAGTGAAGTTAAAGGTTCTACTAAAGCTGACAAGTTCTGTCTAATTCTGCGAAGGAAAAAAAGATGGCGACTGGTATATTTGCCCATAATCCTTAGTGCACGAAAACTTTAATAACGCTTATAAAAACGTATAGAAAAGTTCTATGATCTTCAACGTAGCAAACACAATGTCGTCAACACAGGAACAAATGCTGCAAAAATATAGCTTTTCTTGTACCTTATGGGCTGTGTAGGGCTCGTATGGTATTGTGGTAAAATGTACAGTCGCCTCCGTTTTTCCTACGGAGGATTCTTTAACTGCTTGTTTTTGTTAGGTTTAAGACTAAACATACTTGACAAACTCAGGACATATTTTGTTATTCTTTGCAGTCAAACCTATTGGTTGTTTCCGAGACACTGGCCGCCGAGCTATTCCACAGATGGATGGAAAAGACATCGTCGTCCGTGGCTTCTACCGAAGAAGAGCCGCCGCCATCTATAAGTGCTTTGCGGCAGCCGCCAGGCGTGGTTACAGAGCCTTTGCAGTTCAGCATCAAGGATGGTGTGCGACTGGCCCAAGAGCTCACCTGACATTCAGGAAGTACGGACGATCCAATCGATGTAGGAACGGCAAAGGAGGACCATGGGCGAATGATGTTTATTTCATATCCGGTGAGTTCATTTAGTTTGTAGTATTTACTTGATACTTTGTTTCACTATTACCTCTAGATGAAGTCCGTCTTGACTTGACATGACTTGCCCGACAAGGCTTGACGTGATGTGATGTTACGTGACATGACATGACAAAACCTGACAAGGCATGACATTAGTTGACGTCGCATGAAATGACCTGACGTGTCGTTACTTAAAACACGACGTGGCGTGACTGACGGTGCGTGATGCAACGCGACATAACACAACATATCGTCGCGTGACTGATGACGTTACTTGACATGCTTTGAATCACTTCATGACTTGATATGACATTGCTTCTTTTGTTTTGTTTTTGTAGGCAAATGCAGGAAGAGAACGACATCNTGCACATAACTGATAAGTTATTGGCCAAGCTGTTCGATGACAGCGATCCAGTTACAAGCTGTGCTTGGACAGCTGTAATTGAAAATCTACATGGTGTCACAAGTTTCAATACACATTTATTACATATTTGCTAAAAAATAGAGCTAATAAGAGACAAAAATTTTGTTATTGATAGAATAACTGTTGGTAGACCAGAATGTTTGAAAATTAACGTGAATTTTTTTTTTCAGGCAAAGTGATTCGCATCACACTGGGTTTACTGGGTGAGTAAAGTTACATTAACTGATCTTCCACTGGACGGTAGGACTGACTGACTGCAGTTTTTACTTAACTGAGGTTGAGAAATAAATTAATCACCATTTTGTTTTGATGTTACAAACATTAACCCCCTCATCAGATCAGATATTTATAAACTGATAACCCTGGTATCCCTTTAAATTCAATTGAATTCGTGAGAACTGGTAAAGCATGATTTTCTCAGATGAAAAGCCCCTTCTGATTTCCTCTCATTTTCTGTCTAGCCAAGGGGCTCGGTTGTTTCAGGGACACTGGAAGAAGAGCCATATCAACCCTAGAAGGCAGAAGTCGTCTTCTGAAAGGACATTACCGAAGGAGACGATATGCTATTCAGAAATGCGCTTTGGCTGCAAAGCGGCGTGGGTATAGCGTGTTTGCCGTACAACATCAGGGATGGTGTGCTTCAGCAAGACATGCTTATCGAACATATGGAAAATACGGCAGATCTAACAGATGTAGGAATGGAAAAGGAGGACCTTGGGCCAATGATGTCTACGTTCTGAGAGGTATAGAAACTGCTTAGCTTAACATGGTTTTCAGTATCTCATTCTTGGGAATTTTCAAGACAACTTACATATACAGTTACTCACTTACTAATTAATTGGACTGTGTCATGGCTGAGTTTAGTCTATTTTTTTAAATTTTGCAAAATGCTCGCTATGAAACTTAATGTTAGCGAAGAGAATCTTTGTGTGGATCTAAATGACAAAACCATAGCTTCATTATAAACAAATGTCTCCCAGTCGTTATAATTAAAGTTGACAAACAAGCGAGATTGACTTTGAAAACCTGTTAGGTAGAACAGTTTTCAAAACCCATTTCGCAATCCGTTAAAATCGTCTTCAATTCTTGTCCATCCGTACCTTCTTTTGTATTTGTTGTGTTATAGAAATTTCCCTTGACTTTTTTAAGTGGTAATTTTTTCAGATTTGACTCGAAATTTGCCTAAAATTCTTGAAAAAGTTCCTTTTAATCTCTTGTCCACAGGATCCTGTCGCGCGCGAACAACTCGCGGTGAATGCTGTGTATTCCCGTTCATTTACCGCAACAGACGATTCACCAGCTGTACCACAGCCAATTCCAGGGGACGCCCTTGGTGCGCTGTCACTCCAAGCTATGACGTGGACAAACTGTGGGGCTATTGCGCAGGACGAGGAGGTGAGGAATAAATTAGTACAATTACTAAAAATATGATAAATGGAGGAGGAGGTGAGGAATAAATTAGTACAATTATTAAAATTATGACAACTCTCATATTTGCTAGTTTTCTGAACATGTTGAAATAATTGTTGGCGATTATGGCACGAACTTTTTTTCGCAAAATTAGTTCATTAGTTTGTTTTCTCTTGATATCAGAACTATGCTATAGATTTATAAATGCTTTGTTCAAGGCCAAAGATTTGCCTGTAATATCTTAGTTTAACGCTACTGCTTTGCAGTGGACATCTTGCGTATATACATTTAAGAAATGTCAGTGTAATGCTTTATGTTTTCCTTTCCAGCAAAAATCATCAAAGTCACGCTGTCAGTCACACGTAAGTAACGACATCGAGACTTTTTATATTCATTTCTTGTCACCGTCTTTAACTGACTTTTAGAGTTAATGCTAAATATTACAACGTGGTTTCCCTAGCAAGATACCCAGCTGTGGAGTTGAGGTAGCCACAATCAGGTCTGGGAGTTGTGCTTTCCGTCCCTGTTACTCAGTTGTAAAGAACACAGACCCCCTTTCACATTTTGCAAATCTGCCTATTGTCTGTTGGGCTCTTGATATTAAATTCAATTTCATAGCTGACCCGGTTATGTTGACACCGTCTATATCTCTACTTTTATTACGTGGCTTTATTTCTACGGTTAGGCCTACCGTCCACACTAATCCGTCACGTAAACAGAGCTTTCTGAAAACGATGATTTCACGATAATGATGTGATCTCAATGACCGAGTTTAATATTCTTCAAACATGAATCTAAAATTACCGGTGATTGTTCCCTTTCTAAATTCCTGCGGCGTAGTGTGAACGGAAAACATTTGACGTGTTTTCAGAGTGTAAACACTTTCAAATTTCACCAGCGTAATGTGGACCACAAATGTTAAAAATGTCCTTCTCTTCCCAATTCATTGTTTAGTCCAGAGAATCGGCTGCTTCAAAGACACTGCTCGCAGAGCCATTCCACAACTGGATGGAAAAAGTATTCTCCTACGAGGAAGCTACCGTCATCGGAAATTCGCCATAAAGAAATGCGCTCTAGAGTCAGCCAGGCGTGGTTACAAATTCATGGCAATCCAACATGGTGGTTGGTGTGCATCAGGACCGCATGCTCATAGAACCTTTGCAAGGTACGGACGATCTAACAGATGTAGGAATGGAAAAGGAGGACCATGGGCGAACGATGTCTACAGGATTTCAGGTGAGGTTTTCCGGAAATATCTGCTAAAAAGTGACGCACAGTTACAAACTTGGCTAGTCTCAACTCTGTGTGGAATTTCAGCAAGAGAATTTTTCAGTGCGACAACTCGAACCGGGCCACTTTGAAAAGAGTTAACCAATCAGAACGTTACTTGAGAACAAGTGATAGCGATCTTTTTCTCAAATAAACCAATTACATTAAAGATTATGAACAACAGATCTTAACAAAATTGAAAATCCAACAAAGTTCGAGTAGCTGCGAACCTCTCAGGAAACTTTGCCACTTGTTGATTGGTTTACTTTCGAGTCTAAGTTTTATACGCTTTTCAACGGTTTTGGTTTAGTTGTAGTAAAATGAGTTTTCAAGCTTAATTGTTCGAGCGAGATTTATAATTATGATAATTCACCGTCAAGGAGTGAATCTCTAAGAGTGTATATAACGCAGAGGAGTCGATAGTCTTAAATGTTTTCACGTCAAACAGACCGTTACCTGCCGTCACGAAGAGCTACCAATCCATTGCTCTCAGTTTACGTTTTGATTGGTTAGATTTCTTCGAGGTGGCCCGGTTCAATTCGAGTAGTCGCACTGTAAGAAAAAACAACATTTATATAGTCCGTCGTGAATCTAGTGTTTCGATTCCTACTTCCCAGGAAGTAAGATCAAGCAAGCCAGCACAAACATCCGCTTACCACTTGTCTTTTTAGTTTTAAAAGTCGATAAAAGTTTAACTGAGGAAGAAAGCACTTATCAAGGCATTTTACACTACCATAAAATCTGTTTTTAACACTGTCTTTTTCCTGTAGGAAAATGCCGTCTTCGCACTACAAAGGGCTACTGCTGTTCTTTGCCATTTGTGTATCGCAGGCGTCGATACAACAGCTGCGCCAGTAATGGACGGGGAAGGACCTGGTGCCCAATAACTCCGGAGTATGGCAGGAAGAAACTGTGGGGGTACTGCAGGGGAGGAAAACGACGTAAGTATTATTTTCTCGCATTGAAGTATTATTTTTAACTTATGCAGCGTTTTGTGAACCTTTTCACCGGTCAGTTAACCAACATATGGCATTTATTGTATCTCAACAGCTCGACCGATACGGGTCACGCCTGGTGTTTATAGTAAGTATAGATTGTAGGCTTCTCCTTGTTGTATTATCAATCAATCAATCAATCAATCAGTAAATCAATCAATCAATCAATTAATTAATTCTTGTCACAGATGTGGAACGAGTGAAGTTAAAGGTTCTACTAAAGCTGACAAGTTCTGTCTAATTCTGCGAAGGAAAAAAAGATGGCGACTGGTATATTTGCCCATAATCCTTAGTGCACGAAAACTTTAATAACGCTTATAAAAACGTATAGAAAAGTTCTATGATCTTCAACGTAGCAAACACAATGTCGTCAACACAGGAACAAATGCTGCAAAAATATAGCTTTTCTTGTACCTTATGGGCTGTGTAGGGCTCGTATGGTATTGTGGTAAAATGTACAGTCGCCTCCGTTTTTCCTACGGAGGATTCTTTAACTGCTTGTTTTTGTTAGGTTTAAGACTAAACATACTTGACAAACTCAGGACATATTTTGTTATTCTTTGCAGTCAAACCTATTGGTTGTTTCCGAGACACTGGCCGCCGAGCTATTCCACAGATGGATGGAAAAGACATCGTCGTCCGTGGCTTCTACCGAAGAAGAGCCGCCGCCATCTATAAGTGCTTTGCGGCAGCCGCCAGGCGTGGTTACAGAGCCTTTGCAGTTCAGCATCAAGGATGGTGTGCGACTGGCCCAAGAGCTCACCTGACATTCAGGAAGTACGGACGATCCAATCGATGTAGGAACGGCAAAGGAGGACCATGGGCGAATGATGTTTATTTCATATCCGGTGAGTTCATTTAGTTTGTAGTATTTACTTGATACTTTGTTTCACTATTACCTCTAGATGAAGTCCGTCTTGACTTGACATGACTTGCCCGACAAGGCTTGACGTGATGTGATGTTACGTGACATGACATGACAAAACCTGACAAGGCATGACATTAGTTGACGTCGCGTAAAGTGACCTGACGTGTCGTAGCTTAAAACACGACGTGGCGTGACTGACGGTGCGTGATGCAACGCGACATAACACAACATATCGTCGCGTGACTGATGACGTTACTTGACATGCTTTGAATCACCTCATGACTTGATATGACATTGCTTCTTTTGTTTTGTTTTTGTAGGCAAATGCAGGAAGAGAACGACATCGCGTTACTGCTGTGCCTTTCCGTTCAGATACAAGGGTCGTAGATACAATAGTTGTACATCCAAAAACCACAAGCGACCATGGTGCGCTATAACGCATAACTACGATAGGGACAGGAAATGGGGAAACTGCGCTGGTAAGCTATAGCAACTCAATAACTAGTTTCATACATTACAGTACATTAGAATATTTTAGAATACATTAAAATACATTAAAATACATCAAAATACATTAGAATACATTTTGTCTCGTGGCCACCGCATGAAGACTGAAGTTCTCTGGTTATCAAGTGTTTAGTGTGGCCTCTTGTACAGCTATCATCCTAATATGGATGTTTTACCAGCTGCAGCGGTTTGCCCCTTGTATCGAATATCATTTGAGTTTCTTTATGAATGCATATATTTATTTTAATTATTATCTTTTCTTCCTTTAATGTTACAGGAAGACGCCCTGTAAAACCAGTCCGTCCAGTGGTTCCCCCAACCAGAGGTGAGCTCCAAAACTACCCGCATAAGAATTAGAGTGTTTTGGTTTGCTGTGTCACCCACAGTTTCCATCAGGAATATGTTTTATTCTCCTTAGAGTTATTTGCTCGCATCTTGTCACCTTATTGTTCCGTTTTCTACAACAGGAACACAAAATGTTTCTTAATCCACGACGGTAACTTCCAACAAATGACAGACAGATTATTGGATTGACAACAGAAGACGAACACAATGCAAAATTCGCAATAAAGTAAATAGATGGCCTCAGGAAAGCACAAGGCCACGAACGTCCCAGTTGGGACGTAAAATATACCAACGTTTGAGGAATGGCAACAATGTAAAAAAACACTACAATGACAACCGCCATTTGAATAGCTTGTCTTCGTTTCTTTAGAGAATGCCTTTGCAGACTTGGTGCGGAGTCCGAGAGGGCCCTATTCTGTCTTTTCAAGGAAATTGCTATCGCAGAATATAAAACGGTTATCACAAATAACGGTGCGATAGATACAAAGGTCACATGAAGCCAAGTATATGCAGCGATAGCCTCCTGGTTTGGAAAAACCTCCTCTGGGTATATTACAACACAAAACCTCATATTACCACGTTCTAAAAGTTTCGATGTTAATAGCCATGGAATGTTTAACACTCCTGCAAATATCCAAGTCGAAATGATAGCTATCGTGCGAATCTTGGTTGAAATAAGTCCAAGTTTCATTGGAAAAACCACAGCGACAAATCTGTCAATTGCTATCCACACCAAGCTTTGAGTAGAAACAAAAAGTGACACTGAACTTGCAAAATAAGACAACTTGCACAAAATAGATCCTAGGATTCCACTAACGCGCCAATGCCAAGAGTCCGTCACCACTTCAGTTATTTTAAGAGGAAGTAAAATCAGTGGAAAAACTAAATCAGATAAGGTCATGTTCACGATCAAATAGTTGATTGTTTTTCGTAAATCTCGATGCTTGTAGACGATGAGAATTATGAAGATGTTCCCGAAAAAACTGCCAAGTAGAACAACACAGTACACACAAAGTTTGGAAATTCTCTCACCAATCGAGTTAACAAAGATACAGGACCAGTTGTCTTGGCCCGGAGCAGTTTCGTTGCGAATAACAGAAATCGTCGAATTAGATGCTAGTAACATAATGTAAGGCTTTACTTTTCAAACTGAACCGTACTCGCGGTGCTAACTCTTTCGAAGCACAACTCTAAGTGAATTAAGAGATGTGTTAACACTGTTTGTTTAGAAATGAAATGCAATTCTGCTGGTTTTAAAAGCTTTCCTTCTTTCATCCTCATATTGAAACTTAGATTGGATTCTCCGTGCGTCCTGATTGGCTAATTAGCTTTTTCTAAAAGCATGACACAAGGGGCACTTTCCAATCGATAAAAAATTCCGGTTTAAATTTCCGGAAATTTCCAGTGACAGATGGAACAAAGTTTTCCAGAATTTCCGAAAACGAGAAGAACTTCCAGAGGTATATCCAAATTTTCAAAAACTCCAAACCGGAATTGCCGTTCCATTGGATTTCCTTCAGGAATCTCCAGAATTTTCGGTTGAATGGTTCGCTTTTTGGAAATTCAACCTTTTCGGAAATTCCGGATTTTCAGGAAGTTTTCCTGGGAAAGTTATGATAATAATAATAATACCACCTGTCCGTATTTCGAAGTTTTCGGAATTTTTGGTTGAATTGAAAGTGCTCAAGGCTTTGGCTTCCTCTGTTTGCTGAATTGAGACTCGATCCCTTTTTGCTCAACCAGCTGGTTTACAAAAGACAATTGTTACTGAAGACTTCATTATTGTAAAATAAATAAAATGCCAAATATCTCATTTCGGTCCACTAATGAAATATCTGTGAACAAATAAAGGAAATAACATTTAGGTGCAGGTTAAAAATTCTTTCTTTGCTCAAACCAGCTGGTTTACAAAAGGTAATAATTAAGGGAGACTTCATAAAATGCAAACTAAAGATAAAGACAGAGAAGGGAAGTTCCTTCTGCACACTTGCAGACTGAAAGGTAGATGCTTTCTAAACATATGTAAAATGCAACTAATATGGTTTTACTGAGGTAGACCATTTTCTTAATTTTTACGATACGTACAATTTTTCAACCATTGGACCTCAAGCTAAGTGAGATCTTCCTGTGTGGATTGATATGACAAAGTTACCAACTTTCAATCATTTTTGATTATGTAAATTCATGAGAAACAAATCTACTTTCTTAGAGTTTAATGTGATGTTGGAAGTCCTGTGCATGCAACACTATATCAAAATCAGGGCTGAATGTTGTTGTTTGTGTTTTTCAGTTGTTAGTGTATTTTTTCCATTTAGTCTTAACTATTTGACGTAGCCTTGGCTCTTGTTGTTTTGCTTAACTTAACAGTATCTGTAAAATTTCTCATTTCAGGAAGAGTCATACGAATTTCTATTGGATTGAGAGGTTAGAGAACATTTTGGTTTCAAAATTAATGTGTTGAGCTGAATTTGTGAAAGCTGTCTGTTGAATTCTCCTGTATAAAACCAATCTGCCTAGCGTCTTGCTTATCAATGAGTTCTCTTTCAGCAAAGGGGCTTGGTTGCTTCAGAGACATTGGCCGACGGGCCATACGCTTTCGACAAGCCATAGCACCCTTATCCAATTCAAAATCCATTAAATTCTCCGGTATAAAACCAGTCTTTGCCTAGCGTCTTACTCATCAATGGGTTCTCTTTCAGCAAAGGGGCTTGGTTGCTTCAGAGACACAGGCCGAAGAGCCATATTACCCTTAGAAGGCAAAAGTCGCCTTCTGAAAGGACATTACCGCCGAAGGCGATACGCTATTCAGAAATGCGCACTGGCTGCACAGAAGCGAGGCTACAGAGTGTTTGCCGTGCAACATCAGGGATGGTGTGCGTCAACGAAGTATGCCTATCGAACATTTGGAAAATACGGGAGATCTAACAGATGTAGGAATGGAAAAGGAGGACCTTGGGCCAATGATGTTTATGTTCTGAAAGGTGGGACTTATAAACTGTTCTTGCGAACAGTTCAATAGTTTATACCCTGGGAGCTAGTCTCGTTTACAGCTGTTCTTGAATCGTGACACAGCATTCGTCTCCAGAAGAAGTATTGGGTGGTAATCAGGTTTTCACGAATTGTAATAGTAAATTATTTAGAAGTTGCTCAAAAGCCCTCAAAGATGCTAAAATCTTTCCCCTCTTAAACCTGAAAATTTGGTTGCAAAAATAAAGTTTTAAAGTTGTTGGTATATAAACAGAGTTTTAAGTTTCGGATATGCGCTGTGATTTCACTTGAACAACTTCTTTGACAAATGAACATGCTCTCTCAGCGCTACGAAATCATGTTAAGTGTTAAACTCAGAGACTGACTAGCATAGTCTCTTTGAGGCCTAAACAGTAGCCCTTGTTGACGTTCTAAATGTATTTGGACTAGCAGTACATTTTCGAACCAAATATTCCAGCCAACGTCAACGTTCAAAACCAGATATGTGTTTCATCGATAAGACAAAAGGCTAATCTCCAACCCAGATGCCCCACGGCCACGCTTCAAACAGAATAAGGTCTGGCTACAAGATTAACAGCTTCTACTGTCTTCCCCAGGTTCCTGCCGTAGAAGAACTACTCGCAACAACTGCTGTGTTTTCCCGTTCATTTATCGCGGCAGACGATACAACCGCTGTACAAGAATTAACTCCAGACGGCTCTGGTGCGGCATCACTCCAAATTATGATGTGGATAAACTGTATGGTTGGTGTAGAGGACGAGGTGAGAACCTGCTTGGAAATTGTACTCTCCAGTTTGAAGTTAATCATTTGCAATCTGAAAAAATCTTCTCCAATCTTAGTCATCCTCGTCTCGTTTTGTTTTATAATTACTTCTTTGATGTTTTTTCTATCTCGGTTAACTATTATTTTAGATCCCCTTCGATTTGAACTTAACTTTTTAAATCGTACAAAGAACTTGAAAATGTCAGCTTGGTCGTTTCTCTATCCGACTCAATCGTTTCCAGTCTTAGCCATCCTTGTCTCGTTTTGGTTTATTATTATCTCTTTGATATTTTTCTATATTAGTACACCATTATTTTTAGATTTCCTTCGATTTTAACTTAACTTATATATATAAAAAAAAAAAAAACTTGAAAATGTTAGCTTCTTCGTTTCGTAATCCGTCTCAATCTTCCCTAGTCTTGACCATCCTTGTCTCGTTTTGGTTTATAATTACTTCTTTGATGTTTTCCTACCTTAGTAAACTTTCATTTTAAGCTCACCATTGTTCAGAGATACATTTTCCACATCTTAAGTAACTATTTTATATAGCTTTTTAAAGCTAACTGTTTTCCTTTATCTTTGCAGGACGACGTATACCAAGAGTGCCACCGTCATTGAGAGGTAGGTGGCTGAAATGAAAAATTTTGGTTTGAATTTAAACATTTAAAAAACTGAAAAATAAATATAGGAGGTAAAAGATAGTAACCATTAACTACTAAGTTTATTTTCTTCAAATGGCCTACAAAGATGATGATTGCAGCCATTTTATTTCTTTCTCTCTCCTTAAGACAGTAAAGAGATAGATAAGAGCTTAAAATAAATTAAAAAGGTTACACATTAACCAGGAAAATGTAATGAGCTCAAATTTGCGAGCAGCATCTTATGATGAAGTGAATAAATCTCTATACTAAATAAATTTTATGCCCGAAACGATTTTGAACCATTTTTTTAAAGACAAAAACTCCTTCAAAGTTTCTAAACGGAATGTAATTTTATAAAATACCGTTTTGCCAAATGCTTTATTTTTTTTCCGCAATACGTATTTAATCATGAATTTTTTACTTAAATTTTAGTCCAGAGACTTGGCTGTTTTAAAGACACAGGGCGCAGAGCGATCCCTATTCTTGAGGGTAAAAGCCGATTTCTTAGAGGTAACTACCAGAGGCGACGTTATGCCATCCAAAAATGCCTCATGGAAGCAGCCAAGAGACGCTATCGAGTGTTTGGAGTCCAACATGGCGGCCAGTGTTTTTCGGGACCGCATGCTCACAGAACCTATGGGAAGTATGGTCGATCAAACAGATGTAGAAATGGCAAAGGAGGAGCATGGGCGAATGATGTCTACCTGATTTCAGGTTTGGACGCGAGTTTTGTGGAATCTTTGATGTTTTGTAGAATTAGGGTTTTGAGTTTTTTTCTTCCCTATACACTTTCTAGGTAAATGCAGGAAGCGTACGACGCAAGGAAACTGCTGTGCATTCCCGTTCAGGTATCGCGGGCGCATATACAACCGTTGCGCCAGGAATCGACGGGGACAGAGATGGTGCGCACTGACTCCAGACTACTCCAAGGACAGACTGTGGGGGTACTGCCGGGGAGGAAGAAAGCGTAAGTGATGACTTTTTTCTTTGTCTGTCACGATCTCTAACCCAGCTTCCTAATGTAAACACTACCATTCAGATACTATTGATCCCATTGAGGTACCAAGGATAAAACTTGGCTTGAGTTGATTCGACAAATTTTGTCAGTTATGCAGAAAATAAGCACTCTTCCACCCTAGGAAAAAGGTCTGCGAGCAAAACCATGCCCAGGGATTTTTCTGAATTTGAGGTATTACTCGTTATTGTTGCATCCCCATTGATGACATTACAAGTACTAAACTAAGTTTTTTGTTTTCCATTTTCTCGGCAGCTGCTCCTATTAGAATTTCTGGAGTTACCAGTAAGTACATGAGGTCACCTTGCTAAGTGAAAACTTTATTTTATCAAGAATGTTTCAAAGAATTTAATCACTTCGTTGGTTTTATTCCTCAGTCAAATCCATTGGATGTTTCCGAGACACTGGCCGTCGAGCCATACCTCAGATGGATGGTCGAGGTATCCTCGTTCGGGATTTCTACCGAAGAAGAGCCGACGCCATTTTTAAGTGCGCACTTGAAGCCATGAGGCGCAATTATAGATTCTTTGCTGTGCAACACCAAGGATGGTGTGCGACTGGCCCAAGAGCTCACATGACCTTCGGGAAGTATGGACGATCCAATCGATGTAGAAACGGCAAAGGAGGCCCATGGGCTAACGATGTGTACAGTATTACCGGTAGGTCTTCGAAAGTTTCTTTGCAACCTTTCTCTCTAAAATTAAAGGAGCTCAGTCACAGTATTTTGAGTTATTTTGGTCACATACAAGATTACATTTAAATCGAAGAAAACCTGAAAATAATCATTTACTAACTAAGATAGCAAAACATCGAAGAGACAGTTTTAAACCGTAAAAGAGCAAGAATGGTTAAGGAAGGAGCAGATTACGGATTGCAAACGAAGAACTTGAAAAATTTAGGCTAAACTTTTCAAGTTGTGCAAACCGTTACGTAGCTCCTTTCACTTGCTTTTGCGTTTGAATTGTATGCAATCTCGTTTGCTGTCTTTGAGGGCCTTGTCCTTACCTGTCTAAAGTGAAGTAGGACTTAGAGTGGGTACGCTTTGGCGACTTCCTTTACTTCCATTAGCGCAGGTAGCACTGTAGATAAACATTTGCCCTACTCGGCTGTCACCCGTAGGAAAGATACTTGTAGAGTTGTGCTTCGTTAATAGGATTGCTCAACTTCGTTGTCCACTATCGCAACTGAAGAATTTAAGCTTTTTCAAAAAAAAAAAA